TTTACGCCACCGCTGGCGCTGTTCGATTGTACTCGCACGTTGATGGGCGGCGGTGGCGCTGGCAATTTCTTCTTCGCCTTATCTTTATCTTGACGCAAATGTAGTTGACGCACAAACGATTGACTTAGTGTGGAGCCGCGTAGAAAGTCCTGATCGGCGGCATCGTTGACCACGGGGCGTTCTTCGGTGGCTTCACCCTCGCCCAACTCACGGTACAAATCTAATTGTGGTGGATATTTATGCAACGCATGCGTCATCTGCTCGATACTCAGCTGGTCCTGCTTGAGTAGGCTGTCTGAAGGCATTTTGGCGAAGGGACGCTTTGCTTTAAACTGCGACGCTTTCAGACGATCGAAGAGATTATGCAGCGTAGTGGAACGTTGCTTTTGTTTGGCAAGCGGCATTATAGTGCGCTTGCGCGTCGAAGATGGCGCTGTATTTTTAATTGCTGAAGCTTTTAGTATTGCAGCTGGTGGCAGTGGCGGTGGTGCCTTTTTCAGTAGCGGCAATTTCATTGGTGTGCTCCCGGGACAGTCTAGATTATTGACTCGGCTTGAGTTGAGCGATTTGAAGACATCGTCGTCCAGCTCGCTAAGGCTGACCAATTGCTCTTCACCACCAGCAGTGTTAACCTCTTCTTCATCATCGTCGACGCCGCTATAGCCGGCAAATATCTCATCGAAAGCGGCATTCACAATAAAGGTCTCATCGTTTTCAATACTCAAGTCATTGTTCTCGCATTCTTGACTGCCATGCGCGCTATTATAATGCGCACCAGCGTTTGCGTCACCGCTCACGTCATTGCTGCTGCTCATCGCAAAATGCAGCATTGGCGCGCGCCCTCGATTTGCCAATGTGCCAAAAAGATTTTTGCGATAATCATCATCCATATGGCAAAATTGTTGCGCCAAATCATCGTCAACATTTGCGGCGCGCGTCGTTTGCTCCGCGCGCTGCAGACTCAAAGTGCTGCGCCGCTTAAACGGACTGCCATCAGCTGCCACTGCAATGCCGCCACTGCTGTCAGCGGGCAGCGTTTGTGCGCTACAACTGCTAGCAAGGTTTTGTGTAGCGCGCGAGCGCTTATCTTTACTACCACCACTGCTGCCAAAGGCGGCTAGCAGCTGCTCTTTACTCAATTGTATTAGACGCTGACGCGATTCGTGTGATTTACGTTTGAGTTGATGGTATTTACTGTTACTGGTGCCGTGCTGTGATGCGCGTGACGCATGTGTGGGCGTGTCATATGTATAAGTGGTCGTGTGCACTGCGCTTGTGAGCAACGGCATATTGTACTTACTTTGTTGTTGTAGTTGCAGCTGTTCTCGCTCCCATTGCTGCTGTTGTTGCAGTGCCCAGGCGCGCTCTTTGGCACGCTCTTGATCGGCTAGTTTACGTTGCAGGGCGAGCGTTTCAAAAGTGTGCACCATACTGCCGACATGGGAACGCACCTCTGGTATGCCCAAGTCGCCGCTGAAGAGATCACGTTGATGCCGTTGCTGTGCAGTTAACAGCTCACCACCACTGGCGCGCTTATTGATGGTAGTTATGGTAGTGCCTTTCTTATAAAGCGCGCCAGCGGAAGCGCTCGGACGAAGTGTGCCATGTGGGCGACGACGTTGAGGGAATCGTTCTATGAATTCGGTGGCTTCTCGCTGCCAAAGAAGTTCACCATCGAGTGAGCGCGTGGCAGTGGTTGTTTTTGTTGTTGTAGTTTTTGGCTTGAATTGCGTAGCGAATGTTGTTGTTGTTGTTGGTGGTGTTGTGGGCGTAATGTGTGTGTTTTTATGTTGAAGAAGTGTATGTAAGTTGTGTAGGT